TGAGATATCAAAAAAGTACTCCAAAGGTTTGTTCAGCATGGGGGTGAGTAGAAAATGAAGGCTAATCATGTTTTGGGTGTACTATTCCTTTAAGTAGTTTTTGGACCACATACTTTTTCACTTTTACTTGAGAAAACAGGTCAAGTTGATACTTTAACTTTTACCAGTGTGTTTTAAACTGCAGTATCTATACTTCTACTTACCGATAAGTAACAAATGTGTGTACTTTTGACACCACTGATTATTATACTATTTAAATGTTATTGAACAGTTCTCCATTACACAAATAATCCAAGATCAAAATAAAGCTCTAAAATACTATTGTGACGTTAATCTGCACAAATAGATATGAACGTGTGCGGCAGCACCATGCTCTTACTTTGAGCTTCAGGCAGGGTGCCCTGGTTACAGGTGTCCAAATATTGAGGTGCTCTCTGGGGTTGTGGAGATAAAGTCTCTCATGAGCCGACGAATCCAAAATGCGTTTCTGTGCCATGTTTCCTCCTTGTTTCTGTCATTAGGCTATGTACAGTTACTAGACTGGGATACCTCTTTACTCAGTGACCACTAGCTTGCTTGACATGACAACGTAACTTCCGAGAACTTGTGTTGGTTAGGCCTCAAAATAATGTAATTAAAATCCAAGTACACATAATAGTAAAATAAAAAATGGGCAAAATCAGTTCCTAAAATATTCATAAGAAGTTTATAAATTGTGCAAAGTATTTTTAATATAATTTTTTTAAATTCTCCCTACCTCCCACTTACCGCGGCCATGGTCACAGGCTGGAGCTTCCTCCTATTTCCTGTCTCCCTGCTTTCAAGTAAAGAAAGATTGAAATACTGTAGTTTTATTTAAAAAAGGACAAATGCATTAAACAAAAAAACATAATTGATAAAGTAGCTATTTTATAGAGCAGGCATCCCCAAACTCTGTCCTCAAGGTCCCCTGTCCTGCAGGTTTTAGAGGTTTCTCTGCTTCAGCACAGCTGGTTATAATGATTGCAGTAGCTCAAAAGCCTGTGAATCAACTTTCAATTAAAATCAGCTGTGCTGTAGCAAGGAAACCTGTTATAGAGTAAAACACTTTGAATTATGAGAAAAATCAGCTGCTAGGTTACAACAGTGTGGAATATGAATCTCCTGAATTAAAATGTGTTTATATATTTCCTTTCAGAGCTCAGTCCATTGCTGTCTGGAAACGATGAGACGGGCAGTAAAGCTGGAGAAGGTGGGAGTCTTCGTCAGCGAGTGATGTGATTGGCTGGATTGAGCTCCTCTTAATGGAGCCATAAAGATGCTCTGAGGCTTTGGGCTCGTCGACACAGAACTGAGCCGTTTCCTGTTTTTTTGTGCAAGAAAAAAACTTGATACTGATGACAAAAGACTAAATCTGTGGTTGTTTTTAGATTTCACCGAATTTATTTTCTTCAGATGTTGATTGTTTTTCCAGATGTGATGGTTAAAAACGTTAGAAAAAAACTATTTTTGCTCTTCGATCAAGCTGTCACCAGAGGAGCTGCACTGACAGAAGGGCTGAAGATCTCTGCTTGAAATCAAATCATCTCAGTCTGAGTTTACATGTCGACCTCTGACAGTTTAGAGACTTTTTGTGAGAAAAGCTGCTGTGCCTGAATAAGGCTGTTTTTCAGACTGTAGCTGAGTTATTGATTGAATCTGTGCTGCAGATTTCATCTTTTATTCCTAACCTTAAGGTACGTCATCGTATCTACAGCCTGAGACAGATTCTTCTGAGGATGAAAGATCTTAGAGGAAAACAACACAGTCAGTGAGGGAAATGAATGTAAAATCTGCTCTTTAGATTTCTGTGAAATTGTAAAACCAAAGAAAAAGCAAAGTGCATGTTTTTTTTTTGTTTTTTTTTCAATTTGAGGGCCTATTAGGGGGCATTTAGTTTTTATGGAATGGTCAATCACATTTCAGGATATTTTTTATGCTATAAATTAAGAATTTGGTTTGTTTTTTGGTTGTTTTCTTTTTTTAGGTTTTACATTCATGATTTTCATTAGAATAATATGAATTTCTAAGGTGATTTTCCTGCTGAAGCAGCGCAGATCTCTTAATTGCTACTTTAGGGGTTCAGATGCATGAAGCTTTTGTTTGGGGGTAGATTTTCCTGCATAAAAAGGTACAAAATGTTCATTACATTTATTAAAGAATTAAAATCCTTTTTGAAAAACGTACCTCATGTGTGAATAGTATTAGGTTTTGGTGCCTTAAACTATAATGTACTATAATGTAATAGCTAGACATTTTTGATGCTTCTCAGAAACATGCTTCTAATCATTGTACATCTTTTTAATCGTAAGTTTGTTTTGTTCTCAGCATGTTTTGATAAAATGGCTGCGGTGTCCTCTCTCTGTCTGCTCTTTTTAAGTGAAATGTTTGTATGAAATTTGTTCTCATGATGATGTTTACATTTCTACTGGGATGAAAGGAAGCTGACAATTTTTGTAGTATTTAAGCGGAAATTACAAGTTTGGTGGTTTTCTAAATGAGTAAAAATGTAATAATGTCATTTCAGCCAAATGATTGTGTTTTGTAGTTTCACTATGATGTTTTGGGTTAGTTGGGGAAAAAAATGCAGAAGTTTCAGTTTTTGTAAAATATGGTCCAGTCTTTTTTTTTTTTTTTTTTTGTTTTTTTACACTTGGTGTAGGGAATATTGAGATAATCCAATGCCCAACTGGGCAATTAAATATGCCTTTTAACTTTCTGAAATTGACTACTAAACATTACTACAGCATTAAAGATTTCTAAAAAATAAGTCCTTCTAAATATACATACAATCGTTGGGCTCAGTATTTTTATTGAATAATAATGTGTGTCCTTCTTAGTTTATGGGGGTTTTCAGATCACTAATAGGTGTTCTCCACTCTGTTGTATTTGGGGTCACAGGCTGATTTTCTTTCAAACCCTTGAGCTAAAGGCCAGATTAACCAGGTTACAAAAGCTTCTAGTCTTCACTGTGGGCCTTTTTTAAGCTGTGGACAAGCATTCCTAAAGCTATTTAAAACACACGTACAATGACAACACAATCGACTATGTTATATTTACTTATATAATCTATCAAATAAATGAGCATTGAATATTTATTTTTGTTATTTAGCCCAGTTAGGAGGATCTTAAGTTCTCACACTCCTAATTTCATCCTGCACCCATCTTAGGAGACCACTGAGGGACAAAAAATCAAATAAAACATACAATTTATTAAACTATATAAAAATATATATATAAACTATGTAAAATCTATTAAAAACTTTAAACTATACATCTTGTATATATAAACTATATACAATCTATTAAACTATATACTATAAACTAAATTCTATATATATTATATATATATATAAACTATATACAATCTGTTAAACTATATACAGTTACGGACAGAATTTAAGTTTCAAAACATAGAATCTATTAAACTATATACTATATATATTGTATATATAAACTATATAGAATCTATGAAACTATATACTAAATACTTTATATATTGTATATATGATCTATATAAAATCTGTTAAACTATATACTATGTATATACTATATACACTACCGTGTAAAAGTTTGGGGTCACATTGAAATGTCCTTATTTTTGAAGGAAAAGCAATGTACTTTTCAATGAAGATAACTTTAAACTAGTCTTAACTTTAAAGAAATACACTTTATACATTGCTAAT